GATCGAAATAGCCGCACTGATTAATTTTGGAAATTATCTCTTTCAATTTATTATAAGTAGTGCCAATAACTTCACGTTGCTTTCCATCAACAATCGCAACGTAATGCTCCGCCACTTTTTGTGCTTGCTGAACAAATGTCAGATCACCTTCTTCACGCTGATGCTTTATCACTATCTCATTATATAAATTGTCTAGATATTTGAATTCCTCCTCTGTCAGTTTTATAGCCCCGTTCTTTCCATGAAAAAAGTCGTCTCTAACAGAATCAGTGTTTACGCTTATCAGGACATGCTGAGCAAGTAGCACTTCCTTTACCTAAATCAAAATTATATTTTCTTAAAATTACATCTTACATAATATATGTAAGAATGTATAATAATTGTACAATAATTTAATTGTAAGAACAATACAATAATTTTATTTTGAATTATACTTTTGCAATGTCTTGTTGCATACGCTCAACAGCCTCTTTCCGTGCCAGTTTCTTCTGCTGTTTAACTGCATCATTGGCAATATTAACGATTTGCTTATACAAGTCCCGTGTAATCTCCAGCGTTTGAAGTACTTCATCATACTTCGCCACCGCTGTCTTTTGGTCTGAATTTAATTCTCTTCCATTTTTCTGCAAGTCTCTATACGATTCGAGCCTCCCCTAAATTTAAAGAATACAATAATTTGTAGACCTGTTGATTCCTTTTGAGAGAGAAAGAGAAAGATAAAAAGAAAAAAAAAGAGACAACTAATTACATTCAACATTATATTATAGATTGTAAAATAAGCATTATATTTACACAAGATCTGTTTCTGTAGCTAAACTAATATACACTTTTAAAACTTAAAGCGAAACAGATATACATTTAATTTGGCTGAAGCAAGAAAAAAGTTCTAGTGCAGCTTGGTGCAAGAATAAAAAAGATCCATTATGTTTACATCGAAACAAAGCATGGTTATAAATCAGTTAGAACATAATGTAAGATATAGCGAAAGTTTAAACAACATCAAAGTTTATGCTCTTGATTTTAAACTAAAAGATCAAACGTTTAGAAATATTCCCCGAAAGCATGACGAAACGCACGACAAAGCAGCGTCGACATTTGCCGCGAACAAACTAAAACTGGAAACCGGGAAACGCCGAACGCCGATCGAAGGAACACCCTGTGGATCAGCGAGACTCCAACGTAAATAAAATCGTCGGCGGACATTATTATCGGGTACGTGCCAGCGTCGCGTCCCGCCAAGGGCGTTAAAAAGCGCATCGTGCATAAAGAAAAGTTTCGTGTACACGTAGACTGTACACCGCCATGATACGAGGTTGGCGACGATAAATTGGCGTGTCCGGAAGCTCGAAATACTATTTGTTAGGCCGCGCATCGTAGAGAGTTGCGGATTGACGCTCGATCCGGCGATACGTGGACATAACGTCTTGGCACGCGTTGCACGCGTTGCACGTACCCTTGAAAAATCGAGGCGCGAGCACATGGCATATCGGAGAATCATGGCGGACCGCGGCGAGAAAGCCACGACGACTGACAGATAGACTTTTGTCTGTAATTACGACCTGGACGGCCGCGACGTTGCATTTACCTTACGCTTCTCGAGATTCCGTATCTTGTGCTCGATTACGACGATAGCTTGGCGTAACGGATCCACGGTCTCCGTAGAGGCCTGTTTTTCTAGTTTGGGGTTGGCAGAAGGCATCCTTCACGGGCAACAAACACGAACTGGTTGGGACTCGGAATGGTAACCAAGTTGAACCGAGTCATGGGGAGAAGGAGGGGGTAAATGGGACGACACTCGACAGAATGGCGGGCTGAACGTTTCCGAAATGTTGAGGATTCGCATGCGCGACATATCTTGTCCAAATGAACTTGAATAGCCAAATTTTACCCAAATCAATTCAGATGTTCTCTCAATTTTCGCCAAAAATTGTGCGGTTTCCACATTAATGAAACTATGTGATTTTATTAAAAACTGCGTATTTTTTATATGATTTTATTTAAAAAATTAGATTAACTGAACAAATTAAATTAATTCAACCGATAGAATTGTTTATTATCAGCAAAATTTTTGAATATAGAATTCTTTATTTTAATTTTTCTTTCTAAATCGAACAATAAGAGATTGATGATTTTATCTATGTCAATAAAATACTGAAGATTTTAATTACTTGATAAATTAATTCCTTTTATTAAATTCATATATAAATATTATTCTACATAGTTACATTTTATTAATTTAGAATGTACTACTTTAGTTTTGAGTCAAATAATATTTACAATAATTTTCAAATCTTCCGCTTATTTTCAGTTTCTTCGGTTACACTCATTTCAAATTTAAGTGCGAAGATTACAATGAACTATTTTGCACTGAACATTTAGTACTACACCTATACTCATTAAGCGCTCAGTGATTTCTTGCATCTGATTGGCACATTCCGTTAGATCGACGATTACGATTAAGGCCGGATTCTCATGCAAACAACGGCGCTTTAAGCGCTGATAAAAACGGATGTAAGTATAAAATTTATCTCTCTCATCCGTTTTTCACCAATGCATTTAAATTTTATTTAACAGTAGGTGCATTCAGTACTACAATCGCTCACTGAGCGCTCAGTGAGCTCTTGCATCTGATTGGCATATTCCGTTAGATCGAAAAATATAGACCAAACAGATACAAGAGCTCACTGAGCGCTCAGTGAGCAGTCGTAATACTGAATGCACCCAATATGATTCGTCATGTTGAAATTTTTTCTCTCATTTCTTTTTCATTCAAGAAAATTTACCCTATTCTTATTTGTCCAATCTGTTCTATGCTGTTTTATTACAAGGCCTGTTCTTTTTAACTGAACTTCTTGCACAGTTCATCTTTTCGCGTTTTCTCTTCAACGTGGAGATAAAAGGAAGAAAGATGAACCGTTAAAGAACTTTAGCTAAAAAGAACAGACCTATAGCTAAACAAAACAAACTTCTGTAAGATGCGTTCCGAAATGCACGAACAATGCTGAAAATCTTTAATTCATGTTATCTTTTAGTATTGGCTGCATTAAAAAAAAACAGCTTTACAACTGTTTATCCATAACCCAGACAGCACAGAATATTTATGATAAATATTTATTAATATTCAATTTTTTAAATCTTGCATAAATATTACATACATATTTTATATAAAGCTTTATTTGAAATATTATTAAAATATAGACTAAATATTTCTCTCATGTTATACTTATGGTAAATATAAATAAATATTTCTAATAAGTATTTTTTACTTGGATTATAATATCTCATTAAGTATTTTCATAGCACTTATTATAACATTTACAATAAATATTTCATAATATTTATAATAAATGTTTATAATCTGTGCAATCCAAGACCACAAAAATATTTACAAAATATTTAAAATAAATCTTACAAATATTTATAAATATTTTGTAAATATTTTATAAATATTATGTGCTGTCTGGGAAGTCAGTATTAATTCATGGGAGGGTCACGTTAACGCACAGTGCGATAGCACACATCCACTCAAATTGACCGGTGCCTAGTAATTTTTCACTACTTTACCAATGAGAATATTTTATTTTAAATTGGCCAATTAATGATGTGTGCTAGCGGATCCCGCCCTTAATTCATAATCTCTTATATTTAAGACTGTTTTAAGTACAGTCTTAAAATGTCACGAACCAATCAAGGTCGTGTTAATTAATTCATAATCGATTCTTATATTTAAGACTGTTTTAAGTACAGTCTTAAAATGTCACGAACCAATCAAGGTCGTGTTAATATCTTAAAATATTACTTAAGACATTACTTAAGGGGAGGTTCTACTTGGGAGGGTAAAAAAAATCGATTTTTTTTGCAATTTTTGCACCTCTAAAGTGTGTAGAATATGCCTGCGAAAGGATTTTGCAATATTCAAAATTTTAAAGCAATTTATGACTTGTTGAACTGGATTTTGCATTCAGCGAACAATAGTTGAATAAGTGCTAGCTATTATTGGTGAATTCTTCTATAAATGCCCATTTCCACTAACGTAGATTAACTTTAATCTCGGTCCAATTTACTCTCTGTCTTTTTCTAATCATTAGAACTAGAAAAAGACGAAGAGTAAGTTGAACTGAGATTAAAGTTAATCTACACTGATGGAAACGGGCATAAAATCATCTAATCAGACTTTAGGCCGGTTTCACCAATGCCAGTTACTTAATCGATTGTTAATTGACCAATCATATTTGCTGTTTAGTACAACTGACCAATTACGGTTGACAGTTAATCCCGATTAATCGGCATTGGTATAAAACCGGATCTTTTAGATTGAAATATTTTCTTGTTGTTTACTAAATGTTAAACAAGGATGGTTAAATTAGGGAGCACTCCGGTGGGAATCTGAGAATTGATTGTGTATCTTGATATGAGGTGAAAATTACAAAAATTGACAATTCATTAGATATTGACCAATTAAATTATGAATATTCTAGTGACTTGCTAATTTTTATAATTTTCACCTCATTTCGAGATACACAATCGACCCTCTGAACACGCCCTAGAATCTAGAATGTTTCTATTGGAAGGCAATTTTTAGCGCCATCGTAGTGAATCCACAAATGGTGAACTAAAGTTAATCACGTGACAAGAAGTGGGAAACTGATGCCATATTTAAATCTGCGCGTATACGTTCATATGAATAAATACCTAGTCATAAATTATATAACAATTGCTTAGGAACTTATAATATGCTATGCATTTTTTGCAAATAAATAGTATTGTAGAAAAGTAGTATTTAATTTTATGCGGACAAATTCTGCTTTATAAAATCAGATAGTATAAGTCAACGTTTAAATTTCTAAATGAGTTTTACGGTCTGAGAATTATTGGTAGAGCAAGTACTTCTTCCATTTCAACAAGAAGAAAATTGTTTATGATGTATGTATTTACACTACATGGCGAATGTTCTGAATTACAACTCTAACTTTAGACTTCAATTTGCGTCATACTATTTTTATTTTTCTTTTTTATCTTATCATTATTCATGTGCACGTACACTTCATGTGCTGATAATTAAAGTGCTTAGTAGAAAATTTTCTTGCAAGCGGTCAGCGACATTTTGCTAATCTTTGCGATTGTTAGCACCTCGAGGATGTTTATACTAAGCTGCTTTGACGGAAAGCAAGATATGCACAAGATAAAAATCCCGAAGCTAATAGAATATTTGGAAACAAGTTATACATATTGCTCTTTCAGCTCTCTTCAATACTACTAAATATAATAATCTTCCAAACAGAACAGCAAGTCATTATGATATCAAGATGATTCCAAAATGATCGTTAAAAGTCATTTTTCTATCATTTCCGATTTATTTTAATGTCATTTTGACATTAATCATCGTAACTTGTTGTTCTTGGAATTGTCTTTGGTTTTCCTTTCAATACAGTATCTTGATATAAAGAATTTAAAGAATTAAATAACATACTTAAATGTAACAAAATATATTAAAATATACTTCTGTAAAGTATAAATCTTACAACGCAAATCCAGGTAGAATATAAAAGTCACAATAATCAAAGAACGTTATTATCATGACCTTATTTGTCATTTATAAGTGACAAATGAAGTCACAATGACATTCTTATATTATTGTAACTTCTATGTCTATCTGGGCTTACGTTATAAGATTTAAACTTTACAAAAGTATATTTTAATATCTAATGTTACACGTATATTCATTTGTCACTTATAAGTGACAAAGAACTTGTAAGTGACAAATAAGGTCATGATAACGTTTTTATGATATTATTATGACTTCTATATTCTACCTGAGTTTGCGTCATAAAATTTAAACTTTACAGAAGTATATTTTAATATCTTTATATATTTAATTAAGTATCTTTATTTTAAATTGTTACATTATTATGACTTATTTATCACTTTTATGTGACAAATGAAGCCATGATAACATCTTATGATTATGTTCCATCTAGAAGATATACTTTCTCCGCAGCATCATTAGAAAGTGATAGAGAAATGATAGCATTAATTAACATCAATAGGAGTATATGATAAAATGTCCCAAGATATACTCGTCTCTCCAAGTAAATATGTACGATTCATTCACGTTGATCTCTGCCTCTTTCACGAATCCTCTCCGTTTGTGTGCTCGACCAACAGCACTGTCTCTGACACGTTATAGTTCTATCAGCAGAGATTTGACACTTGACCCTTGACGCTGGCCTAAGTGTTCGTGTCGGTGGGTAAATCGCAAGCATTCCGCGGGATCGGCAGTCCCGCGTCAATCATCGCGCGCTTAATTATACTTACTTGGTATATTGGCCGAATTCCGTTGTTTAGCAGTCGTCGATCACGTGCATCCGCATATATATGATCGCATTCCCCCGCGTTACGCGAAACTTGCGATATCCAACGGCGCGTCCTTCTATACGTTTCGACGTAGACGATAAATCCTTCTCTTTATTTTCTTCTTTATTTTCCCTCTTTATTTTTCTTCTTAATTTTTTTCCGTCTCGCCGAGATACGGAATTTTTTTCGATTGTTCCATCAAACTGATGTGTGTCAGCGTTTATGCGATAATCTCAGTCAAGAAGACGGATTGAGACCATGCACGTGGAAAATGCGCTCGCGATTGCCACAGGTTCACGCGCGAGGGTGAGGCAGCGCGATTAGAAAATTCCGCGATTATTCGCAGGAAAGAGATAATCGTGGCAGAAGTTTTCGCATTTTCACAAAGAAGCTACGGTGCACATGCAGTCGACGGGAATTCGCCGTTAAAAACAGAGTTTCAAATTTTCTTCTACATCGAAATCTGGTTGAAGCTGACCAACACTTTGCACCGCCGAGTCGATTAAATCTTACACGAGCAACACTCGATTGGAAAATTATAATTATTAAAAATTATAAATTGCGGTTTACAATTTGAAAGGGAACGAAGTGGATAAAGAAGTGCCAAGAATAAGTTCATATATCGAAGCTGCGAAATTGCACCGAGTAAGCAATTGGTCAAATAAATATTATTTTACAAATTTTTTCTCATCTCATGAAAAAGACATCCGATTTATCTACGTACAATTTTTTATTAATTTTTTCCTAATGCTTTTTATTTAAAAAATAAGATCGTAGAGATAATATTTATTTTTTATATTTATTGAAAATACAAATAAAAGCTAGGAAATATTTCCAAGGGAAACCGAAGGAAAAACTGTACAACCATAAATCGTATTGTCTTCACGTCATAGTTATCTATCATCTTTCTTGTTAGGAACTAAACGTCACAGAGACAGACGTCGTCGGCATTGACATTTTGTCGCAGTTATTCACTGTTCGAAAACAAATAACAGCGAATTATTCTTATACAAACATTATACTTATATTAAAAATAATTTTTTTAGTTTCAAAAATAATCAATCGTGCTCGTATCGATTCGCTTCAGTTTTCCTTTTGCGTCAAATAAATACGTAATTTTTAAATATTTATAATTTGATATCTTTTACGCAACGCGTCCCAAATACGCAGAACATTAATCAGGTTTTATTGCCCGACGAATTACATTATATCGATACGTCAATATGAAACTTCATGCGAGGGAGGATTCTTAATTGAACAATATGAACGCGCGACTCCATTCCGATAGCATCATATTCTACGCTTTTTACGTCATATAAAATCCGATACAAATTAATGAATATCTTCCTTCATATAATTGGCAAGTTATTTGACATAATTCCTGATATAATTGTTGTAAGAGCTGAAACGCGCGCTTACTACGATCGACGTTGTACTTAATCTCATGTAAACAAAGCCCCTTTTCTAATCTAATCTAGGCGCTCTTGGACGAAAACATTTAATAGTCTGTTTTTCGTTCTTTTTTTTTTTTGCAAAATAAATTGCGCAAACAATCATGTTTGAACCGAAATCAAGGCAGATCAGTCAGCGTCGTATCAACCACGCTCATTCGCGCCTATAATATATATACATATATTGTGAAAATAACGAGAATCCAGATAAAGAATCGCGACAATTATCGGCATCCAGGGAGGAAAATTATTTTCCCCTAACGTATTGAAATCTCTTATCGAACATTTCGTACTACATTGACTCGACACATTCTGCGTCGTATATAAAAATTGTTCGATTTTCAAGAAATACGCTGAAAATCGAGCAACAATTTTTTGCATCAATTTTATTTTGACTTCGTGTAAATGATGTTATGTTTGATAACGTTTTTTAACCTATTTCTGCATTTACTTGAGGCATACAGTGTTAGTGCATTAATTCTACCAAAACAAGCGTCACATTATATCACTTAAATTCCCAAAAAATCGCACACCACGATTAAAGTTTATTACAGCAATTAATTGAAGAAAAACAACTTGTTAATGATATCTTAACGTGTTTTCCCCCTCCGATGCACTTTGTACCTCGGGGCCGAAGTTTAGTTCCGTGTTTCTGCGCATGTTAAGCAAATGATATAAGGCGGATTTGGTACTTTGGAACGCGATCCACATTGATGATTTAATATTAAAACTCGTGCAGCAATGCGAAATGTAAGATACATGAGTTGCTTTTTCTCTAATATCTTTCTTTTATTTTATCTTATTTTTTCTTCTTAATGAACAACTGAGCGCGATCTTGACCGATTCTCAAAAAACGTAACAGTTCGTAAACAGTTACCAAAAATAGCAGATTAATGCCCGTTTCTATCAATGTAGGTTAACTTTAATCTCGGTTCAACTTACTCTTCAATCTTTTTTGATTCTTTGAACTAGAAAAAGATGAAGAGTTAACCCAAGCAGAACAACAAGTCATGATAACGTCAAAATGACATTAAAATAAATCAAAAATGATTGAAAAATAACTTTTAATGATTATTTTGGAGTCATTTTGACAGCATTTTAATATCATAATGACTTGTTGTTCTGCTTGGATAATTAGATCAAGATTAAAATTAAAGTACGTTAGTAGAAACGGGCATTCGAGCTTCAGCACCTACGTCGCTCGGACCTGCGCCGAAGCTTCTGTATGTCAGCAAGAACTCGAGAAGTAAAACGAATCAGTATCATAACACACCCCGCACGATGAGGGTTCGTTATCAATAGCACGCAGGGGCGACGCAATTACAAGTAGATCGCGATCGACGAATGTCGCTTCGAAATATATTATTTTGCACTCGGCACGCTCTGTCCGGCTGATTTACAATGTAATTCAGGATTTATGCGATCATTCAACCCGAAGCTCTGCAACGTGAAGGCGATTCCACCCCTTTTCTCGCGTAAGACACAAAACGATATAAACACCTCATAAAAAGTATATTCTGTCTGAAAACTATTTTCTTTTTTTTAAATATATCTTCGTATGTGTGTAAATATTTTTTTAGAAATAATTAAATAGGAATTAATTTGGAAAGCTAAGTGATTTTTACAGCAAAATCATCTTGCGTTTTGCATTTAATACAGTAGATAAATAAAAAATACAAATTTAAAAGATTTTTTTTATCTCATTTTTTTCTTCAATTGCAATGAGTTATCCAAGCTTCATATTGGATCGCAGATCACTTTGTAATGCAACCCTTTGATGTAACTTTATCTATGTATTATGTTTAAAGACCAAATCATTAAATTCAAACAAACACGATCTAGCAAATATTCGTCATGATACGTGTATCTGTTTGAATAATCGTGCGAATAATTACGTGTTATTCCATTGGAACATTCTCTTTAGATGTATATTACCCGGATCTATTATTTCCCAAACTTTCCGAGCTAAAAATATGAGCATAAAATCTCGAATTCACATCACAACGAGAATATTACAAGTTTTATCTTTTAACATTTTTTTTATTATCCTATAAACTTTTAGATAGGGAAAAACTTTTGAAGTAATCCCGCGATTAAATCGAGGAAATACGATTAATACGAGAAAAATACGAAAGATATATCTTTTAACGAGATCAAACGTGACAGTTTCAGATGATTGACAATTTGATCTATGATTACGAAAGATATATCTTTTAACGAGATCAAACGTGACAGTTTCAGATGATTGACAATTTGATCTTCAACGATATGGGGAACGTAATGCAATTAGCCGAGGCCGAGGACGAGGAGAGCCTCAAGTGCAATGGCACGATTCACGCGGAACTGCCAATCGAATTGCGTTTCAATGACGGCCACTTGGTGGCGATCATCACTTACAGCATCCTAATGGTGATATCGGCCATTGGAAATATTTCCGTGCTGACCATAATAAAAAAACGAAAGTCCAAGTCCCGGATACAGAATCTCGTAATGCACTTGTCGATCGCTGACCTCTTCGTAAGTATAACGACGCGGGCGCAAATAACTTGCGATAAAGTAATCATACCGCTCGCGATTTGCGCTTCAATGCAGCAAACGATATGAGATATGTCGCATCTTGTCATCGTCCAGGTGACATTCCTGATGATGCCATTCGAAATCGGATGGGCGAGCACGGTATCCTGGGAGGCAGGAGACGCGATGTGTCGCATAATGGCTTTCTTTAGGACATTCGGCCTGTATCTTTCATCCTTTGTAATAATCTGCATAAGTATAGACAGGTCAGCAACAACGATAACCATAAATCGCGTTTATTCTGCGACACTTTTAGTGCGCACTGCATATTAAAACCTAAAAGTTGTACACTGATTTAATCTAACTATAAAAATAAAATGTAAATATTTCGAATTATAAAATACACATATTTTACTTAATAGTATAATAAAATGTGTTGAGGATTTCACAGTTTAACTCGTTTCTATATTTGTCAAAGACATATCTTTATGGCAATTATGTGTGTACAATACAACAGGTTTAATATGCACTAATGAGCACTGATTGTGAATGCATCCAATTAAATTCACTGTTAATTCCAATCCATTGAACGTTGTATCCCATTCAGCAGAAATGTTCAAATTACATCATTAATATATAACAATAGAAACAGCCTAACAACGCAATGTCAATAGGATATCCGTATGATGTATTCGGGATATTTCTGCTGTGGAGTACGTTAACACGATTTGCTGTATTTAAGATAATCGCATGTTTTGGATAAGACTACACTGTAACTTCATCTTCTAGATATTACGCCGTGATGCGACCCCTCCAAATACTAGATATTCACAGGAGAGGGAAGATATTGCTGATGCTTGCGTGGATTGGTTCTGTACTTTGTTCCATGCCACAGGTGCACTAATTTTTACTCAAACTGTATAAAATGCCACTTCGCTTCGTGACCGGCGTTAAACGGCATGTTTCGTTTCCTGTAGATGTTGGTGTTCCATCTTGAAACGCATCCAAATTACACTTGTTATACCCAATGCATAACGTTCAATATCTTCCCATCGTACGTGCACGAAGTTTCCTACAGTTTGTTCGGTATGGTAGTGATGTATTGGTGCCCCCTGATTGTAATATTCTATACTTATACCAGTATTTTCATGGAGATCTGCCGTAGATCCAGGGAGAGGAGTGAAGGTACGGTCGAATGTAATTTATCATGCCGTAAGAATTATTCATATTGCATGCTAAAAGTTATTTGAAGCGCGTGCACTGAAAAAGAATCTAATAACAGTTATTTAATATTGAGTGAAATAATTTCAATCAAATGTTCGGTTAATGTAAGAAAAAATTAGCATGTAGTTGAACTAACTAAACGCTAATTTTACTTTTCTAAATATTTAGTAATTATTATCATGGATTGATTACTATTATTATGGTTGGTAATATTCTAAATATTGCACTAATTCGCTAAACAAAATACATTTGCTATTACCAAACTTTTTCTCGATGTATTTCTGATTTAATTAACAAATATAAATTTAATAGGAGATACTATTTAATACGTGTAGTAATAAATAAATGATGCGATATACTAAACAGGTATTCTTTGCAGACAGAATACGTCGCTCCTCGTGCAGTTTTCTAAGCCGAGCGCGAGTACGCACCTTAAAAATGACGATAACCATTATCGCTGTCTTCATTATCTGTTGGAGTCCTTACTACGTGATGAGTGTTTGGTGAGTCTGTGATTACTCTTAATTTCTAAAATATTTTTCTCGTCGACTAAAAATCAATCGCAATATTAGTAATAACATATGCATTTCAAAAAGTTGACAGTATCGCCAGATTATATAAACGTATAAAAAAGATCGATGATTGACGTACATAATGTACAACTTTGACGTGACTGACGCTCACGGCTATAGATACGCAAATTCTATCTTACAAAAAGGAAAATAACATCTCTCATGTTAAAAATCTCACTATTAAATTCTGTGATCTTTATCGGCAAACGCGTGCAAACAGGTATTGGATTGATCGATCATCAGCCCTCAAAGTCGACGAACGCATTCAGAGAGCTCTTTTCTTTTTCGCGTGCACCAACTCCAGTATGAATCCCATCATCTACGGTATCTTCAATATTCGTCAAAGAAATAAAGTAAGTATTATCTATCTCGAACGTTATGACGCTGTAAATTTTCTTCAATTCAATCAAGCTTCTAGTCATTAACTTCAATAACATCTCATATAAAATCGTAAATTATTTTATCGACAAAGTTTTGTATTAAAAAATTTAGATCGACATGCATACGTAACGATCTTATAGCCGATGTTAATCAAATTCATCGTCACTTTAAGCGTGAAATAGAATTTGATTCAGGACGAATTCGTGTAATTGTCACATCAATTCGATTATCCGCGCTCTACGTGTTGTTAATGCCACGTTTATCCATGCAATTGCAATAGATATTTTAACATCTTACGAAGACAAAAATGAATCTATACCGCTTGCATTAAAAAAGAGGCATATTTCCGTGGCTTTTGTTTGATAAAAATTGAAAAGTTACATTAACACTCATTTTTTTCTACTCATGCATTCAAGCTAACAGTTGGCTGTTGCCTGTATTTCCAGGCACAGCTTCAATCCCATCCTCTTCTGAAGCTCGTCAACACAACTGTGGAACTTCCTGTTGTCGCATACGCCAGAGATTCCATTTTCACCATTTTCGTAATAACATTGCCGATTTTTTTTAACCCTCCAACTTCATATAACAGACGTTCATCGCATGATCGTAATGGTAATTTGTTATCTCGATAATTAGATATTTTTCTCTACTAATTGATAAGTAAATCCCCACCTCACATCTTGCATCCGCATGTTTACATGCGCGTTTAATAGAAGAGTAATCATTGATGCTTTCTTGAAGAAATGAAGAAAGCAATTACAAAAAACAACGAATGTTCGAACCAGACGCAAAGACGTTTAAGAAAAACATTCAAACTTTAGGACGGTCGATTAGACGAGATTTAGGACTTCGGCAGTTTCAAGTTCCACGAAAATTTCTATTTTCGTTCTAGGCGCCGATGCGTACAGCCACCATCGAGACCCGGGTCACGCCGCTGTCTCTATCCATCAAACTTCTCGATTGTCAATGAACGCGACGTTCGTCGGCTCGAATAGATGCGTTTAAACCAATGATGTTGGCTTAAATATCTGCGTTCTTTTACGAAAATAAAAAGTTTCAGCAGTAGTGCTGTCACGAACTCCATCTTACATGACGGTGCATCCACGTGCGGATACTGTCCGGAAACTGTCATGGACGCAGAGCTGTTCAAAAGTTCCTCATCTTACTCTACCAGATGCATGATGAGATTAAGTGAGATGAAAGCGACTGTGATCGATCAAATTAAATCGCGCCCTATGGAAGAAGATCCTCTGACGAAGTTGAAGAAACGCGATGAAGATGAAGAAACAGAGATTTTTCCTAGGTGAACTATGTATTCATTTGTCTCTAGATGTATTTATTTTCAAGTTAGATAAGAACTTTTAAAAGAAGATTCTAGACTAAGTTTTTATATGTATTTGTTACGATATAAGCAAATGTTGCAAATGCAACTGTGAACGTGCTTCGTCAAGTATGTGTTCTTTCTTTTTTTTATATATGTATATACTTTCGCGACACAAGGTTGTGCAAACAAGTTACGTAAGCTATTTATACACCGTTTATGTTCTGTATATTTTTATAAGGAGGAAAAAGATATCGAACAAAATGTGTGCGTTTGCATCGCGCAATCCTCTTTCATTACTTAAAAACTGTTAAAGGATAAGCTCGCAGTCAATCTATTGTGTTTCTGTCTGTATATTTTCCATAAATAAAAAAAGGAAAATTATAATTTGTGTGACACGCGTATAATATTCAGATTACTATTCCTGCGTGATCGGGTAACGTAATATGTTACACGTAATGATGTATTTTGGTCCATAACAGGTAAGGGAGTCAGCGTCTGTTTCCTGGAATCTGCAGACGCAGATCTCTGTAGCGTTCGTCAGCTCAACCTGAATTGAATTAAATCTGCGTGACTTCGTACCAAGTCTGGTACATATAACAGGCTAGTTATATACATCAGACTCAACTCGTACATCGTATCTGTAATGTCGGTCAATTAGGATGGAAAATTTATCGCATTGTACGGTGCGACCGCGCTAAGTCTCGGTCAGCATCCGACACGGCTGAAACGTAGATAATGACGAAGACGAAATGACGGCAGAGACCGAAGCGATCCCTTTCGTTTCGCATGTTCGCCACGGCACGTGTATCATGTGAACGAAAAATGGCATGACGTGTCGAAACGTAAAAGCAAAACATTTTGTTATGTTGAAATCGGTTAAGAGCAATAATCTTCCGCCCATAAATTTTCAAGCTCCTTTGATGCCACAACAAATCAATCTGCTTGTAAAGATTAGAAACATCACCAATCGTCAGATGTGACAAAACGTCGGACGAAACATGAAAAAGTATTAAAAGGAATACATAGAAATTTATAATACTCCAAAGAACACATCAAATTAAGAGAAAATCAAAATGACTTTATTTTGTTGTCATGAAAGTCAAAATGATGTTTTTTTGTTACAAAATTTGTCGTTAAGGATAAAAATTAAGTCGTTTTGACTTTTTGTTGACTTTCGTATGTTCCTTGAGAATTTGTATAACTCATAAATATCTAATTTGCAAAATGCTCATGTATTTAACGTTATTGGAGTTAAGGACGTTGCTTACGCGCTCACTACTATTTAATCTTCGAATTCAAAGATTAAATTTTGGGTGAAAGATTGGCAAATTTTTTTGGAAACACCGTGTATATCACCATGGAGGAAACTAGGCTTTATGCAACGTGTCTACGGTTTGAAACTGGTGTGGATGAGTAGGTGGGACCACTTCCCACACACGTGTAACTGGCACACCAGCAATATTGTTACATACCTGTTGCAAGGTTCGTCGCATCGAAGAGACCTAAACTGTCACAGAGACTCTCTCCGAGATTGAAGTAGTTTTTTAACTATAAAAATGGTTAATATATCAATAAGAAGCCGAAATTACGAACGCAGAAAACTGGTTACCTTCCTACAGAATTTCCTTAGTGATTTGTCTATATAGTGACTTGTCTATAGATATCGCGATGTGATGATAGTTTCATAGGTACAGGTACATTCCAAAATAAAAAAAAGCACAAAATGCTAATGTGCGAATGAGAATTGCATATTAATCGATTTCGCCGAGAAATTCCTCGTGTCACCGTAGAAGGAAGCGTTTAATTTATATTAGCGCCGGCTCTGACACACCTTTCCGCTATGACTATTTCATATCGTTAAAAACATCTTGTGGGCGGATGCACACAATAATGTCGGAGTAATGTATTGACGATACCATTAATCATTCAGCCACATCATACGGCAATAATATTGCTTACTCCATTGTCCATTTCGAATTGCAGAATTGGTTTAATAAAAATTAAAATACATTCAATAATGTAATAAAATGTAAATTCCTCAAAAAAGTAATATACATTTAAATAAACAATATTTTTGAGATAAAATCTTCACAAATAAACATAAATTAATTCTTTCGTCTGTTCTCTTCCGATTGTCCAATTTAAATACAAATTACATTCGCACGTAAAGATTTTTATTTGCAATTTTTATTTCTTTATTCTTATCTTTCCATTCGTTGTTTGTATGTTTGCAAGATTAATTTTAAATCTCAAACAGCCTGTCGTTCTTGTTCTATTGTTTTCTTTTAGAAATGCAATTACAATTTGTAGTCTTTTTAAAATAATAAAATGATCTTGATTCATCTTAATTCATCAGTGTTTTCTCTGCTCGTTACGTATCAAGCGCAGGTAGTACAAAATCTCGTTTGTAAAGCCGTATTCGTGGGCGACGTATAAAGTCGCGGACAGTCCGTATCCGCGCTCCAGTCGGCGGCTGTGTCTTCTGCATCCGCGCGCGTGCCGTCGTATCCGTCAGAATCTACTGCATCGCGATTTCGAGACGAGAGAGTGGCACCGAGGGGATTGCAGGAATTTTGGGTTGCACTTTCTAATTTTTGGAAACCCACCATTGATACCGAATACTCGCGCAGAGTGCATCGGGGTCGCATCAGGATGCGGGTCCCGATTTTGTTGATCCTTGGGCTGCTGGTTATCTATGCCGTCGATGGTAACGTCATACCTGACGAAGGTAAAGGTTTTGATTATAAGGAAAGTGACAAATATTTATGAGGGATAATTTCATGTTGACGAATTAGCGATGATCATGTTAACTCCGATTCGCATTCCCTTCTTGCGAAAATAAAATATTTCTTCCGTTACTTTCTTCGCGTTTCTTAGACTATACTGTTGAAGACCATTCGCGGCGCGGCGCGACAAGAAACCCGGTAGTAACGTGAGATCGGTGATACGTGAGACGTCTTCACGGTTAGGTGCATTGATCAACTCTTGGTCACTCAACTCTTGTATTCTTTCGCAGAATTCTTTATATTATATCTTTAAATGTATATTAAACAGCATAAATAAAATACAACTTTCTATTAATTAACAATTAAGCTTTTTATTATATAAATGCAGAATTATTTTTAATTACCCGCTATCTTTTTTTTATTTTGCCGTTTTACAACAGCTCTAACTACGAGCCTGCAGGATGCTTGGTACAATGATGAATTCGTTATCGCAATATCCAACTTCAAGGATAACAGAAAATCTTCCAGTGGTCCAGTGGAGACTCTGTTATCTGTGAAATATCTGGGGAAAACGAAATTAGTGCTCATAATCGATCGACGAACAAAACGCGGTGAGCCAAGATTTGTCTGAATCACGATCTTTTGAATTTCTGCGTTGTCATTATTTTAATTTATTTAATGTTTGTCGTTCTCCAGTTATACTTGAGAGTCTCGATGATACGGGTCGACGCAGCGCATCGCATATCAAAGTGGACAGCCTCACAGTGAACACTCCTCTGAAGAGTCTGATTATACTGGTGCATCAGGCTCAACCTAATCCTCGCGTGGATGTGTACGTCGATTGTATTTACGAGGGTTCTATATCGCTCAAGTTAACTTTCCGTCACATATCTGGAAACGAGGACTCTGTAGAAGGATACGTGGAAGTAGTAAGTTTTTACCTTTCACAAAATATTTTTCACAAAGTTTTAATTTAGATAAATCTTGAATATGTTATCACATATGTTAGTTAAGACAATTCACGCTTTTTTTATGCTCGCCAAGGAAATAAATGTGAATACATTGTCTGCAGTTGCTTTTTAAATAAAAAAAAATTTCCCGCATACTTGTTTCCGCATACTTAATTTTGTCCAATATTATTTTTTGCTGTCGCTTTCTTCATTTACAATCGTATAGCAGTTTCTTATTTACGTGTTATTCGTGACGTCCACAAACGTGGGACGACGTCTTTCCAAATATGGTTGACGAGACCTAAGCTAGTTGCTTCTGTTACATGCACCTGGTTGGCTTACCCAACTCAGACACAACGATCCCTGACTACTCGGATGAATTGAATTAGTTTCAATGAATTATTCGCGCCCTATTTCTGCCACTAGTAATATTACATTCCGACTTTATGCAATATTATAACTCTACGATTACTTTCAATTCTTGATTCAATTCTTGTGGATATCTTTCGCTACTAAAATCAAAATAAATTGCCATATTGATTTTGACAGAAATTTAACAGTATTTAAAATATTATTAACTTTACTCTTGATAATTACAATTCTCTTGATATATTACAACTCTGTTTATCCGAACATCGGGGAACACGACAGTTTCGATAACCGATGATTTAGATAATAGGGGTTCACTAACTTCATACTAGTATTTACTAGTTCTGATAATAGAAGCTGACGTTCAGAAAATTGAAATCGAGCGTATCGAGCTCCTATTACTATAACTACAACGCCATAGTTCAGATAATAGGAATTCAACTACGAGTTAGGATGTTCGGACTTAAGCATGAACTTGTTTGT